AAGAGTGCAAATGGTGAGCCACCAATTGAACCACCTGTGAAGCAGCCAGTCTTAGAACATCCCATTGCCATTGCCTCACCATCACCACCAGCAAATGATGCAAAGCCAGCACCTACAGCAGCCGATGAACAGCATGCACAGGTAGGCCAGCCATCGTTTCGAGCACCTGCAGCAGCAGATCGAGCAAATGAAGAAAGCCCAGTACCTTTGGCAGGGGCTGTCAAGAAAGAACAATGCTTGAGTGTCAGCAGTACAGCAACACCAGTGACTGTGAAGAAAGAGTGCTGGAGTGGGAGTGGGAAGAGCAGATCTACAGCAGCAAAGTCCAAGACAAAAAAACGCTTACGGACGTTCTCACCGTGGAAGTTGCGAACATTGCACTCAGGTTCAATAGTAGCTCTCTCTAGACTGGCAGGACCCGCAGCAGCACCAGCAAAGCAGGATGTGAAAACTGAGGGTGAGCGTGCTTTGCACGAGTTGAAGAAAAACATCAGAGACAAGCGGAAGGCGGATCAGCAGCATCCAAGTGGATTTCAAGATCCCAAAAGATCAAAAAGCCAGCGATTAGAAGAGCCAGAGACACCACCAGCAGGTTCCACAGCCTTGGAACGTGCAAAGGGAACACCAGGCTGCCCAGACAGAAATGTCAACTGTCTCATGCTTAAAGAAAGCCATTTCAGCTTCTTTGCCGACCAAAATGCCGACCAATGTGAAAGCTTTATTATGCGCACCTACAGCTTGAGGAGTTGTCCTCAAACCTTCCACGTGCTTGCCGTTCCCGACACTGGAACCAGCTGCTTCTATGTGGGGAAAATGGTCATTGTCTCAAGCGATTTGGCCAAGCACTACCATCCATACAAAGACTGCATGCCTACCAAAGCGGACAGGGAGTTTTGGGCAACCAGAATTCGTTCCAAAGATCGAGAGAGGCCTTCCTTTGCTTGGAAGATCGGCTCAATGTCAGTATTGGATGAGCCTGTCCCCATTCAGTTTGCCAGTGCCAAATTCAGGAACCGCCACTTCCAAGTCAAGAAGAAGACCCTGTTCCAAGTGGCTGATGTGAAAGCTGCTCCATCACCGTCATTGTATTCTACCAGCCACTTTTTCCTGCGCTTGCTGTCACCAAAGAACCGTGAAAAACTAGAAGACGTAGCAAAGCAGTTGGACGGCTGTAGAATCAGGTTTGGAACAACCTGCTCCGGATCAGAGGTTGGAAGCACCGCTGTTCAGGCAATGCTGGCAGCTATCAACCAAGAGTTCAAGGTTCCTAGGTAATATATTTACCGTGCTTAGTTTTTTTGTGCTTGTTTCTTTCTGGTACACCTCCAAGTGATACTTTAAGGATGTTCTAAGTGAAAGCTGCCAGGTTGATATTGGCTTTGCACACATTTTTGCAGCAGAGATCCATCCAGGGAAGCGCCAGTACATTCTGGACGGCTTCCCCAACATTGGACATGTCTTTGGAGATGTGGAGTGCTTTGCGAAGGGGGCTGGGTTCTGCTACCGATGCAGCTGCACCCACGAGATCACAAGTGATACAATGGGTGTGGATTGCATAATGGTTGGACCGTCCTGCAAGGACATAAGTACCTTGGATATATATATATATATGGATATATATATATTGTTCAAACCTGGTGTGAAGATTATTTTACCACTGTTCTAAGTGACGGGCATATGAAAGGGTGTCGGGTGGGGTGACAGCTTCAGGTAGACTCTCACTCAATCGATCTGAGCGAGCGGGGTGCTACGAAGAAGGCTCAGACTCCTCTGGAACAAGTGGTCCAACATACCGCGGAGGCTACAAAGCTGTGCCTAAGCGTCATTCCAGCAGGTCTGTGTTTTAAGGTGTCTTGATGGGTACGGTAAAGCCTTCTTTTTTTAGTGAAAGACTATACATATTAAAAAGACTCTATAAACGCAATTCAGGTGTTGCAAAATATTGGGCCTGCAGTGGCTTTATACGAGAACGTCAAGTCCGCAGCAGAGAAAAGCACTGCATCCGACGGGAGCATGGTTCGCCCTGCCATTGAGGCATCTTGACAAGAATGTGTTGCAGGACAATGCACATAGAACATCCCTTCCACAAGGGCAATGTGCCCAATACATGTGTATATCTAAATGAAATATATATATATATGTATAATGTATATGCGTATATATATATGTATACCTGTGTACCTATATTTTTTTTGTCTTATATATATACTTATGTAGATATGTTCAAGCGATACAACTATAACGACTGGGATCTCTTTGTTCTAAGTGCAGGGCACCACACCCCCATATTGGTAGGGAAAGGAACTGACGGCGTTTTGTAAGAAGCAAGGATGAAAAGTTATGGTTTCCCACGTGGTCCCACGCCACCAGCTGTTTTAGAGTTTCTAGAAGATGAGGTAGTCGCAGAAGATGCAGCAGAGTTGGGATATCAGTTTGTTGCCCGGTTGTCTTTATGAAGTTCAATTTTTCTATGACTGTCTATTTTGGTGCTTTCCTTCAGTCATAGTTCCCCAGTACCCATTATATATATATGTATATACATGGTTATCTTTCATGGTCCTTTTTTGCGCCCTTTATGCATGGACAAAGGCTTGGACATTGGCGGACAGTCAAAACTTCTTGGTGCGGCAACGGCGCAACAGGGTGTGGGGAGTGTCCCAAGTCAACATGGGAAACAATCAAGCAGACTTTGAGCAGTCATTTTCATCTACATTTTCGAGTTTGCAAACACACTTCCATTTTGAGATGTCAGAGAGCTTTGTCCTTGGCCTGCCCAAGCAAGAGCCGCGGACAACGCGGGAGAGACGGATTATGCAGGAAGCAATGGGGAAGGCCGTTGCCGCTCCTTGTCCTATGGACTTTCCCACAAGTTTTTGTTTGCCGGTTCCATATGGGTTCTTGGTCTAGCTTGAACACTTGGATTCTGTTCATTGTGATGTTCTAAGTGTACGATGTGATAAGGCTGGGCATAGCTCAAACGTGTTCTTTGACAGCTCTACATCCAAAGATCGAAATTGTGAGTCTTGCTCGGATTGCACCACCTGCGTGTGCCCAACACATGCTATCTACAGCACCTTTCTGCAACGGTATTTGATCCCTGAGGAGTACTTGACAGCCCAGGCAATCTTCCGCTGTGATTCAAAAAGGCCAGAAGTCTTTGACAACATGATCCAATCAGGCTTGGCTCAAGAGCTAGCAGGAAATTCCTTCACCGGCACTGTCGCCCAAGCAGCCTTCCTTACATCCCTTGTGACATGCAAAGCCTGGGTAGACCTCAAGCCACCATTGAATGAACCAAAGACACCTTTTCGTGTGAAGAAACAGGAAGATGAGGGCATGAGCTCGGCTAGCAAGTCAGAAGGGGATGCAACATCTGCAGCAGAGCCTGCTTCTCATTCACAGCCTTCGGGGTCAGATTCTCTTGGTCCACAGGCACCACCCATGGAGGACCGGCGCAGGCCACAGAAGCGCAAGGCTCCTGATGACTCGGAAGCAAACGATCAGTTGGTACCTTTGAGAAGTACTGGTGATGCGGTGGTCCCTGTTCGTCGGGCGCGTGGCAAGCAAAAAGTGGAGATGCTGGCCGTTCCTTCCAAGAAACTGAAGCGCCCGCGAGGGGTGGGAGCAGGGAACAAGAAAGCCAAGGGTAAAAAGAAAATGGTGAGCATTTATGAAAGGAGATGATCTTTCAGTCATTTGAGCGCGCGAAAGATGCTGGGTTCAAGGTGCCTATCAAGGAAGTGGAACGGGAGTCCCTTCCTGGATATTTCAAGGGTTGCCTCATGGAGTCAAAGTGGGGCGCAGTACGGCGCCAGCAACAATGGAACCTTCTCGTGAAGACATGCCCATTGCTTTGCAAGAAAGCCAAAGAGTTACCCAATTCACTCAGGCGGCTGCTGCATCTCAAGCTCAAGGTCAGCATTCCTCACCAGCTGTCGTCTTCCAAGCACCAACACGTCCCGTTTCCATTGCAGCAGGCCATTGAGGAGATGATCATGGACAGGTTGGTGCTTGGTGAAGAGGTGACTCTCACACTCATCAAGAACACAATGTCCTTTGCAATCGGAATCTTCAATGAGGTGGTTGAGACTATGCGCCACAACTTTTCCACTATGACATTCGAGACTCTAAAGTCACAGGACGACCGCCTGGCCACATGTTCCCAACAGGAGCTTTCTGAGGTGTTCGATGACTTGTCGGAGCGTGCCCAAAGCTTCTTTAATGCATTGTTGCTGTGAGTTTCCTGGTATGTTCTAAGTGAAGGGTGAACGAGGTAGGTTTCTCTCTCTAATATATATTGTAACTATATACACATATTTTTCTGTGGGAACAAGAAAAGAGATAGATTACATGTGTATATATATATATATGTACATATGCACAATAAGTTAAATATATTTTCACTTCGGGCTATCCCCACCTGGCTGTTTTATTTTTTGAGCAATGTTCTAAGTGTACAAACACAGCACTGAGAATGTTAAATGTGTTTCTCTAGATCCTGTGCCAAGGCTTCCTTCAGCCTATTTCTATGGATGCTTCTGATTGTGCACTCATGTGCCTTTGACAGTTTCGCAGGGAAACTTTTGTTGTGGGCATTGAGGTTGGACGGGTGGGACTTTTGGGCAGGGAGATGCTAAAACTGTCCACTGCTGAGAAAGAAAGCAGAGCGCTTGGCCAACATGTTCGGGGTGCGCCCAAAGAAGAACGAGAAGCCGGGTGCTCATTTGCCATTCACCCACAACGCCCTAGAGGCTGTCAGAACGTACGTGAATGTGACCTGCAAGGGGAAGGGAGTGCACCCCAGACTGATCGCCAACTTTGATCAAGTCTGGTGCACATTGCACCGCCCTGCCAAATCAGTGCGGCAAAAGGATCCCACTTGGAGAGGCTTGACAAAGGACCCAATGGCCAGATCGCTCCAAATGCGACGTGTGAGGCACCACCTTGAGAATGCCTTGAACTTGAGGTTCACAGAGCCCAATCCAGACTGCAAGGATGCTCATCAAAGGTCTTCCATGCCCGAGGTCAGTGGAGGTGCCACGGCTACAGCGCCAGTGGATGCTTGGAGAACACCGAGAACACTAACAACGCTGAGCTTTATTGACGGCTATGTTGCACGCGGCTACATCACAGTGAAGGCCGGAGGCATCAGTGAGGCCAACAGAGAGCTTTTGAACCAATCCCTCAGCAAGTATCTCTACATCGAGGATCCACAAGAAGGAACTCACATTTGGAACGAGAAGTCCCTGATTCGCTACCTCAGTTTCCTGGCCGAGGAGGTTCGAGCAAGGAGGAAGTCTCTTGGGCTAACGGCCAGACACCGTGCTTTGGTGATGCTAGATCAAGCAGCTGCGCACATGTCATCTAGCTACAGGAGGATCCAAGCTCAGTGGTCCGAGCAACACAACATCGAAACTCAGCGTTTGCTATTTAGTCTATTTATTTGCAATCACTGGGGAGCATTTCTCACTTAGAACATTTCAGTATGACTTTCAGAGACTACCTTTTATACACCTTTCTATCTCCCTCTATATATAAACATATATTTCTATATATCACACTTCGAGCTATCCCCACCTGACTGTTTCCTTTTTGTTTGTGCTATGTTCTAAGTGTAACCTTCTGCAAATAGTTGTGGAACCTTCTGCACAGTTGCTCAAGGAGCTCATGTGCGGCTGGTCTGACACGGATGCCCCGCCGATTCCAGGCGGCTTTGGGGCAGTTGCTGGCCCCAATGATGGTTGGCACCAAGCCTATCACAGTCTAGCGGCTTCATACAACAGAGTCGCGATTGGCTTTGGCTCAGAACTCCAGCTACGAAAGCAGCTGGATCAGCTGAGTATGAGCTTGCAAAGTGCACCCCAAACAAAGTATCTCAGCCAAAATGGAACCATACATACTGACGGGTCTCACGTTGCATATTCAATTTTGTTGTGGTCGCTGACTTTGCATGTTCTAAGTGTTTGCTCGTCGCTATATATGGAGTTGAAACTCCCGTTTTCAAAAATAGTGTGATTATTTCCATTCAATACCCAGGTGTCCCATTGAGATCTCAGTGAGGGCTGATGCCTTTGCATTGAAGACTTTGGGAAGTCCAGAGCGGCTTGATCAGCAAGGGGAGTGAGGGATATCCACGACCAACACTACCACAATATATAATGCATATATATATATATAATGTGCTATATGATGAACATGTTCTAAGTGTGCCTTTGTGAAGGCATCGGCGGCTCATTTGGCTGGCCTGGCATCAAAGGGGCTACTGTGATTTGACAGACATCGCGGAGTGGAATTATGAAGGCATTGTTCAGCTGGAGAAAGTAGAAGTGGAGGAAGAAAAGGGGTCACGACGAGTGTAGATTGTGTAGATAGGTAGAATTATATACAGATGTATAAACTGGGCGTTTACTTCCTTAAAGCCAACCCATTCAACTCAACCAGTAGTGTTTTTAGCTACAAAACAAGTATGTTCTAAGTGCAGGGTGTTCTCCACACTCTTGGGTTGTTCTCTTCTTCCGTTGGAGGTGATCTTAGCAAAGCCGAGAGTGCATTGCAGCGGAGCCGGGGATCTATGAAAAGTGTTCTGGAACTTAAGGAAGTACCAGAGATCGATGGTGAGGATACTGATGGTTCCTACGAACACATGCGCATTCAAGAGCTTGCCACTTGCTCTCTGAAGGCGGCAAATATGTTTGTTTCTTAATAGTGCTGAGACAATACACATATTGTATGTTTATATTCATATATGTATATTTTTTTTCTGGCTGATTTGTTGGATGAAGTGATAAGGCAGGGGGGTAAAGACTATGTTCTAAGTGTGCGGGTATATAGGCTTATAAAGGATATGACACAAACGTCTGTCACCGTAGCATGCACCATCAGACAAATCCACCAATATGCTCAACATCTATCAGCTGAATGAGCCCGCTTTGCCCAACATAGACGCCAAAGCTGCCCACACGATATGATGATCATTGCTGCGCAACACGGTGCCACGCACAATATGACAGCATATCATCCCTGGGATGTCATCCATGGGGGGGGGGGTGTCCTTTCACACTTAGAACATTGGTTTATGCCCTCAATGCTTTTGTCTGAAGTTTTTTTTGTCTATCTGTTTCTTTTCTTTTTCTGGTCCAAGGAAGGGGAAAAGAGCTTCCTTTGGGCGATTCAGAAGGGAGATGACACTACAACACGGATGATCCTCCCCTCTTGGATGGCAGATGTCTTGCAGATGAGGGTTTGCAAATTTGTCACTGAACACGACCAGTGGCAGGGGAGGATGGCGAAACGGGGAGCTATGGGAAAAGAGCTTACAGCTAGCCAGAAGAAAAAGTTTGATCAGTGGAGCCTCGACCTCAAGCAGAAGGTGATCTTCAACAAGAGCAAGAAGAGAGTCGTGCTGCAGGCATCAGAGGTTACCAAAGATTGCATTTGTGTCCAGCTGCACCTATCAGAGGATCCTGAGAAGCTTCTCCTCTGCGCCAGCAGTGGGGCACCCTATCGACTAGTCTTGCTGAAGAGTGAGGGGAGAGCTGAAAGCAAGACTGTTCCTTCCGAGCTTGACCATGCTGTGCCACCAGATGCATTGCAAGAACTTCGGGATGAAGCTGGCAATGCAAGTGAACAGTCAGATGAGGAGGAGAACGCGGAGATGGAAGACCTTAAACTTCGAGAGCTGGAAAATGAAGCTTACTGCAATGAATTTGGAGTGAGTGATCCTGATGACTTGCTTGTCATGGCTGACTCTGACGAGGAGGACGTCGATGTGTCTTGGGCTGGAGAGGGGGCTAAGAAGACCAAGACCTTCATGTTCCGTCCTGCATGGGTCAAGGCGGAATCCTTGGGACTGACGCAGCTGCCGCGCCATATTCAGGGATGCTCCATAGCTTGTCATGGTACAGGTAGGCAATGGCAAGGCCATTACCCGCTGGCGAGAGTTGGCTTATCCTCAAATTGGGGCGGCTCTACGGGCCGCTCTGAGTGTGAGGCTTTGGTCAAGGCCATCCGCGGTGTCTTGGAGGCCCACGTAGCGGCCTACCCACGGGACAGGCTCTGGCTGCAGCAGTTGCAGCGTGTCAAAGATGCGCAGGCAACACAGAACTTGGCATAGGATTGGGGTCGGTTCTCCCGACATAGACACCAAAGCTGCTTGTAGGACTGTAGGACGGTAGGACATGTTCTAAGTGAGCGGTCCGGCGATGGGTTTTGCAATTTCCAGCATGTTTGTTTTTTGGTGCTTAGTGGAGGACCTAGCAACTAATTCAACATAATTTGCATGGAATGAATATATTCCTGCACGAGCGATCCATCTGGATGAGGGTTTACAGTAGCAAGAGCCATTCTCTTAGAACATTTGATATCTATCTCTACATATTGTTTATGTATATTATATACACATCGTTTTGGTAGACTCCCAGACTGGATGTCTTCTGTGATTTTCTCCATGAGGATCTACTGTGCAGTGTTTGAAGAGGCTCGTGGTTCTCCGTTCTGAATATATATACTCCAGTCAATGTTGCATACATAGAATTGCACAGACAATATGTGTTCTTTCTCAGCATTTAGCGGAGGGCCAAGCAACATGCAGGAACAGTCTGCATCTGCCCATCGGGCAGGCAATACCACCTGTGGGGGTGGGGCACCCCCTTGAGTTGAGGAAAAGGAAATTTTTGATGCAGAGTTGAGTGTGTTCCGCTATCTAGAGAGTTTGGCACTCGACTTTAGTATGTTCTAAGCGCAGGCTCGTCACAAGGAGCTATTATCATTGAGGCAACACTAAACTTCTTTAAACCCTATCTTTGTGTGTTCTAAGTGATAGGTGGCTATGTTCTAACCGGTGCTGGTTGGATATGTTCTTAGTGTGTAGGTTTTTTATTCTAACCACATGTCCGTTTTTTTTGTTCTAAGTCATGAGTTCCGTCGTTTGGAAAAAAAAACTATGTTCTAAGTCTTTGTCCGTCGCTATATAAAATTTACGAAAATTATTTTCATTATATCGAAAAATATCTTAAAGAAATCAAACAAGCATCAAATATTGCTCATCTCGACCCCACGACTTTGTATGTTGCCCAAGGTTGCGGCTATATCGTGGTATAAAAGGAAAGGATAGAATTGGGTCCTATGAATCCACCAAATTAAATTAGATTTATTACCTATCAAAATAATATATTTATAATATACGATATTCTAATAATCAAATTCATCATTCCATTCATTAATTTATAATCCAATTAATTTAGTGAAATTTAATATATATTTCGATTTATCTAAAAATAATTACAAATAATTGTACCATTTCTAAAATTAATATATTCAATTAATCCATAATCGTCATAAATTCCAAAATCCTCGATAAATACTTATATTCGTAAATAAATTTATATATATGAAAATAATTAAAAATTTTAATTTGTTCTAAATATCATTGAAATTTCAAATAAAAACAAAATAATCATTATTCCCATAATCAATCACTGAATCGGAAGAATTAATAAAATTTCAATCCGCCATATCTCCCTTTATATATAAATCATCATCCTCCAATAATATGCATATATTAATAATCTCAATAATTATAATTACCAAAATAATTAATATAATTGTAAATATTGTTATTTCTAATTTAACAATCGAAAATATAATCATAATTGATATTATATCGATATATATCGAATTAATATATCCTAAAATCAAATAAATCGATCCATAAGAAAAATATCAATAGTAATTTTGCAATTAATTCTTCGATATTTATTTTTATTTCCTTTCCGGCAGAAGTAGTTCTGCCCGTGTTCGACTTCAACCATTGGTCGATTGCGTCTTACGCATCTAACGTCCCGGACGGCATAATCGAAAAGCAAAAGGCGAAATCATAAATGACCATGGAGAAAAGCTTACTTTTTGGCTTCGAACGATAAGAAAAGATTGCTTCGTAGCACGATCCTGCTTCAAGCTTCGGTCAGGTGCTCTCTGGCTATCAACCTAATTAAATATATATCCTAATCCAAATCAAGGGGATATATACAGGACTACACGAGCCCAATTCTCAAGGATGCATCAATTCCCACCTATTCGAAAGCAAACCCAATAATAACCGCTTTAAAATTCCTCGCCTCGATAAAACACGATAGAAACAATATCAATTATTTTTTCCATCGAATAATCCAACCATAAGCTTAAATAAAACAAAGCAAATAAATAAAAAAACGATGTCATCGAATAAATTAATTAAATCATTTTCCTAAATATAAAAATATATTTAATTTACCCCCATAAAATAGCGGTTAATTCGAAAAAAACAATAATAAAATAAATATTAATTCGAAAAATATTAAACAATAGATATTATTCATATCATAAATTCCCAAAATCCTAAATTACATCATTTCCTTATTTTATCTAACCAAAAAATTAATATCCAAAACAGACCTAATCTTATTTCCCCAAATCGAAATATAAATTCCATATTCCCACGAATCCTCAAACAAATTCAAACGCAATCAACCGACAAATTCAATCACATAAAATTACTACCCCACAACATAAAAATAAACCTAAAACAATCATCTATAACAAAACATAACAATTTCGAATCCTATACAAACAAATATTATAAAATCATATATAATAATATATATATATAATAGATTAAATTCAAATTAATTAAATTAATAATTATATAAAGATAATCAATATTATAACATAAATTAAAATTACCTTCTCCATAATTAATTACTATATATTTATTAGATACAATATTTATATATATATCGATTATTATATCCTTATTTTATTTTATTATCTTTAAATAATACAATCGAAAAAAAGAAAATCACGCATATATTAATAATAACAATAATCAAATACCGATAAAACCATTAAATCCTTCTCCAAATCATTCAACCAAAAAACACAACCAATATAATAATCATTACCACGATAATCGGGGGGCATCCATAACCGACCCTATTGAAATATTTAAAAACAAAGAACAAAGGCATTCTCCTCCATTCTATCATTCAAGAATACATTCAAATCATAATAGAATTTATATACTAAATTATTACATAATATATAATGTAAATATGTTTCTATATTTTTTATATATCATATTAGAATGTAATTGATGTAATGTAAATATGTTTCTATGTATATGTATTATATTTGAATATACAGGTGTTTCGGGTATATCAATTTCTCTTGCTTCATTTGGTATTCCAAATTTATTTGTATTTGTCATCGGCAAAATCTGACGATAATCATTGAAATATTGACAGTTGGTTTCGTCGGGTTGTCTTTTTCAATCATCATGGTGTCCAAATGGAATTACTACGTACGCGGCATGCGTCTGGAATTGAAGCCTCCAAATGTTTACACCTGGGATCACCTGGGCATGTTTGTTCGTGCAGATTCTAGAAACAAATCACGGGAAGTTCCGCCTCTGATGGCTGCGGCGGCTGGGGTGTGAGCCTCGATGCATCGCTCCGGCTCGGCTGTCAGCCAACTGGTCTGAACTAGGGCGGTGCGTAACCTCTAGATTTATGTTACTGTTACTTAAGGGCGGCTATCGTAGAGCCGCTGTTGGGGGACTGGTCTGAGCTCCGAACTCGCCATGCTGATAGTGCGCGGGTCTCAGCCATCAGCCACTGCTGAAACGAACTTTACGGTCTCAAACAACGTCTCGGCTTTACGGAGGTTGAACTTGGCTTCCAACGTCGGTTCTTTCTGGTCAGGTGCAGTCTGCAACCTCAATCTGCAACAATGTCATTAAAGGGGCAAACCACTGCAATCAATACGCCCGAACTGGGATGGTTCTCCAAACGAACGCTAGAGCTATCCGGAGCTGATTCGACATAGCCTCAGATGATGACCACCCGGAACCATGACGCTCTCCATGGAGAAACTCACCTCGTAGGGGGTTCCGTCGCGTCGTCAAAGGTGCGTTCTTTCGAACGGTTTTCAGCAAGCCCGACAACGCCCCAGGCCTTCATACTTCGATTGATCCAAGCTGAAGGCAAAACCACGCCCATGCTTGTCTCCGGACTGGTACTGCCCTCGGGAGGATTTTGTCTGGCCCCTCCCAACACCCAAAGAGGACGCTACTAGGAGCAAAGGGCATCGTTACTAGTAACAAGAAGCTACAAGGGGCTCTTGGCCTTGCTACTAGGATCTATACTAGGAACAAGGAAGAACATGGAAGAACCACGTCCATCGTGAAAAGATCGAATTCAAACCAACCAGCTTGGCCACTTGGCTAGCCGCATGGAAGACGGGAAGACACAGCCGGCGCAAGCGGTCGCCAAGTGGTCCGTCCTTCGTAGAGGCGACCATCTGGATCTTTCATCATGCCCTCACCTTCCGGCACAATATTCCAAGGCCTCAGAGGCGTGATCAACGGAGCCCATGCTTCAAGCCCATACTCGTGTGTGCAGAATATTCGACATCGGGACAGTAGAGATCTCTACTTCTTGGGCGACCCTGACGTCCACAGTCTGCCCTCGCCTGCAGCATCCTCGCCATTGGCCTTGGGCATTTCACCAGGTGCTTGCGCATCCCATTGTCAGGCTTAGTGGTCGTTTGATGTCGTTTGGCGTCCCCGGCATACACGCGCACTCGGCCTGAGCAGCATATTCCTTCCCACCTTCCAACTTAGACTTACCTCGAAGTCCATTGATATTAAGGCTCATTGTGTCATGTATGTCTCATGATAGTTTCGACCTTTTGCAATGCTAATCAGAATCATCTGAAAAGTTATCTGACAAGGCACCGGTGTACTTAGTGCCCTCCGGGTAGAAAATCATGTGACTCGCTTGCCTAGCAAGGTGAAAGAAGCTCGTGATGGGGACACATCAAAGAATCCACCAACAGCGAATCTGACCCAACTTTGCAACAACATAAGGGAGGGTGTCAGTGTGTGTTTTAATGAGGATCCACAACTAGGAGGCCTCCCTATCTTAAATTTTGATACACCACCAGAAAGGAAGCAATGAGAACGAAGGACAACGCCAGCGTGGCTCATCAGGCAAGTCGTCCACCCAGGGCCCCTCGAGCTGGTAACCCTGATAGGACAAAACCTGCAGCTGGAGACAAATTGACAAGGGTCGGATCAGGATTACTTGTTGGCACAACGACACAGTCCACTACAAGCTGCCCAACCCAAACATCACAAGGATTCGACCGCTAAGTCGGTCAAAGGCATTCACGCTAAGTTGGTGACAGCTTGCCCATGGCGTTTGCCGTTCACCTGTTCACTCGGTCAGCCACTTAGCTTTAGGAAGATTATGCACAGCCTGTCACAGGCTCTCAACAACTTGACCGCCGCAACATGAAAGAACTCATCTCAACATCACTACTACCTGACCCCCACGGGGGGGGGGGTCAATAATGTAACTTACAATTTCGGGGTGTGTCCAAATGCAGGCTTTTGTGCCAGCGCCATGATCTGTATCGGTCCGAGACCCTTCGGGGCATCCGTTCACCGTCCGAGGCTGGCGCCCACTGGCCCTCGAACTCTCCCAGAGCGTAGATCGCAGTTCCTGGACTGGAAGCGTAGGCGGTGCCAGGGACTGGCCAAAGAAAATGGCCGTGAGCCACTGATGCAAATCATCCAGTTGAATGGAACGCTGCTCTTTTTTGGGGTCTAGTCTAGTAGCATCCTGCTCCGTTCGTAGCGTCCTTGCCACTAGTAGTAAGGCCAGGAGCCCCCAGCGTCAAACAGTACTCCCACCACACTCCCATGTTTGATAAAAAAATGCCAAGGTCCCGCACCATGGCCATGTTTCTGTCCAACGCGCCTACAGCAAGCATCCACCAGCTGGCACGCACTAAAGTCACTAATTAAAGCCCACCCGCAGTACGCCCGCTAAGATACAACAGAAGCATCCAAAAATGATGTCTTATGAATTCTTATGATTTCTTGTGATTCATTGCCTAGTATGGCATGTCTGTACAGGACACTACGCCCTCTTGGTACACGCACTCCGCGCTGAGTTTCTCCATCAGTTCAAAAAAGTTGCGAATCGGACCTGGTAATCTCTCTCTCCTTCTAACATGTCTTTTTGGATCTCTTTCACCATCATTCTCCAGGGCCGTGGCCATTGGCCTGCAAAAAGACTCTCCGATCCAAGGAAGTCCTTGCACAATGCTCTCAGTGCTGGCAAAAGCTCTTGACTGTTCAATGTGAATTCCTTGAACATGGCTCATCCGGAAAATCCACCAAAGCTTGATATCGCCAACCCCAACAGTCACTTCTCATGCTGGAGGTGATCGGTGATCGCCTGTACTGTGGGTTTGGGTGCAGCCGCCCGAGCCAGCTGGCCCGTACCATCTCGCTCCCCATCCTGGGCGATGGAAGATCATACGATGTAAGTAAGCAGATTCACCTGAACCGCAACAACCAACCTCAACCATGTGGTGTTGGGACGTGTTGGGGACATTTTTGGGCCAAGTGACCTGTCAGGTCACACAATTATTGATGCTGACATCTAACGATAGTGGCTGGCCTGAGGTTCTCACTACAAAGTTCCCAGTGTAGGTTTCACCCTGGCACACATGCTTGCCGACGCCGTGGAATTTGCCTTGGCATCAATGCATGAACGCCAGAAAGCAACAAAACGTCAAAAGCGGAAGTTCCACTGTAAGTCAATCCAGATCAAAAGTTGGCCGTGAAGGCTCGCAAAGCCGCAAAGCCATAAGAAGTTTGATATAGTTTGATGCATCCTTCTCAGTCTCGCAATCCCTTAGGCTCTGCTCCATAGCGCCATTCACCTTCATACAGGGCGCCTTTCTCGTCCACAAAGGTCCCGGCCTCGGCAGGACGGTCGTCTCTCGACCGTGGGGTGCGTGACGACTGTGACGGCTCCTTGGCGACCTGGCTCCATGGTATAGATTCTGCACCCATTGTCCAGAGTACTTCTCCTGGCACTGAACATGTTGAAATGCGACGGGGTCCATTCTACATCCTCAGCAAAGGCCTGCGATTGCACTGACAGTTGTTAACACTGAGCAGGAAAAAAACAATAGTGCCGCCGGACAAAACAAGCTGGGCAAAGCTCAATGCTGAAGGCGTTTGACAAAACTGTCAGCTTCCAAACCCAGCTCCTTGTGACACCTGACGCAGCTTCCAGACCCATGCCGCTTGTCCTGAAAACACTGCTGTCTGCACAAAGCTATCTTCAGCTGCACCCTTGACCATATACCATGTAGATCCGTGCGTGCGTCTCTCTCACAAAGGTACCCAAGCATGGCGATCGAACCACGGCTGTGGACACTGTGGACATCAAGCTTTCGGCGTTTGGTGGTATAGTTTAAAGCTAAAACTTAAACTATTTTCAGTCTAAATTCTGCGCGCATTGCCCGGGGCCCTTCAACATTCAAAAGAATCTATCTGTGAATTTCACTCCATGAAATGTGGAGAACCATGGTGGGTTGCTCGTTGACTGCAGCTTTTGTCCACGGACCGCTGCCATCTGCCCTAAGGGGCCCCTCGAGCACGCATGTTCACGCTACGCCTAGTAGAAAAGGAGCTCTACCCTTTTTCACTTCGTTTTCACTCCGACACTTCGAGCGGTTGGAATCGGAACACGTTGCACTTCATACTTCCGTGTTTTCACATTGGTAGCGGAGCCTACCCAAAGTGGTGGGCTCCAGCTGTGTCGAAGCCATGGCCTCTGGAAAGGAGCGCGCAACCTCACGACCTCCTGCCGGATCGACGGCGACTGGCTCTGGCATCGCTGGAAAAGACTACAAGGACAGTTTCATCCCCCGGTTTGAGAACAGCACCACCTCCTACCCCGAATGGAGGACAAGAGTGAAACTGTATGCCCGCAAAATGGAAATCCAAGGTCGCAAAGCTGAAGTGGCACTGAACATTTTGTCTGTGCTCGAAGGCCCGTCATGGACGCAGTGCGAGGACCTGGATTTGAACGAATTGGAGAAAGAAGGTGGCCTCGAGATCTTGCTCAAGCGCCTGGATAAACAGTGGGCCCATGATGCGAAAGTTGAGACGCCAACCCACTTTGACAACTTCTTTTTCAAGATGCGGCGCAAGCAAGATCACTCGATCCTCGAGTATGTCACCGAGTTCCACCAAACGCTTCGACAGATCTCCAAGCACAAGATTGACCTCCCCGAGGAAATCACTGGCTGGATGTTGGTGAAACGTGCAGGGCTGACAAGGGAGCAAGAACAACTGATCCAGACCCACGTCGGATCATCGCTCACCCTACCTTCTGTTGAACAAGCCTTGTACCTCATCATCGGTCAAGATCATCGCCATGTCCATGTACCAGCACACCTCCGGAAACCTCAAATGGCTGGACGCTGGAAGCGACAGGGTCAGGCCTTTTGGGAGGATGACTATGAAGCCGAGGAGAACTACGATGATGAGGACGCCTTCTACCAAGACGCCCAAGAGTATGACATCGAGATTCAGCAGGACTATGAGCCCGATGAGACCTACTACCATGACGAACCCGATGAAATGGAGTCGATGTTTGACACCCAGGAATTTGATGAGGTCTACAGCACCTATGTTGATGCCAAGAACCGCCTCAACCAACTACGACAGAGCAGAGGATTCTACCCCGTGGTGGCGGTCATGGATGGCAACAAGGGCCAAGCCCACAAACTCCCTTCAAGGGTAAGTCGAAAGGTGCTGGAAAGTCAAAGTCTCCATCCAAGGGTTCAAAGGGCAAGACCTCTACGGCCGGGAAAGGCCCCAGCGGCAAGTCAAGAGCTCGTTCCGCAATGGTTTGTCTTCGATGTGGCAAGCCCGGTCACTTTGCTGCAAACTGCCCGACTGCTCAGGGCTCCGGATCTACCTCACCGAAGAAAAGGCCAGCTGAGGATGATGCGATGGTTCACATGGCACTTCACCTGACTGAGCTCTATGATGCCGAAGAGTTCTTTGACGCTGAGGACCCCTATGACTCTGAGGTCTTCTATGATGTTGAAGAGGCCTACACACAGGGTGAGACCTTGGTCAGAGCTGGCGGATGGTTGACCCCGGAACCTGACTCGTGCATTCAGGACCAAGGAGCTTCGTCCTTCTTGGCAGGCAGCGAGTACATCTTGCGCTACCTGAAGTGGCTTGAGCTCATTGGCTACCCCATGGAGGACGTCGCATTCAAGAGATGCGACAAGTCATTTCGCTTTGGAGGTGACGCCACTGGTCACGCTCGTTGGATGGTCGAGCTCCCAGCTCGCTTGGCTGGCATTGCAGGCCGCTTGCAGGCCTACGTGATCTATGGAATCTATGGAGCCACTCCCATGTTGTTCGGACGACCTCTCCTCGAAGCTCTTCAGGCTGAGATCGACTTTGGACGGGGCAAGATGCGCTTCCTCCAACGAGAGACCTGGCGGGGCATCCCACGAGGCCGTCAGGGGGCTATGTTGTTGAGATTGGCTGAGGAAGTGAACGACCAAGCGGAATTTCGCCCCGTCTCCTTCGACCTTCGATGCGAGGACGGCCATGAACACGCCCTCAAGCTCAATGACTTCCTTGAGGACCTCAACGCCCATGAACGGTTCTTTGAGATGACCACCGAGGTGAACGCCTATTGCGAGGCATGTGAGAAGAGTGATTTTGTGAAAGAACCCACCTACATGGAAGTGGATCAAGAAGCTATGGTTGAGATCCCTCCGGAAGCCTCGACAAAGACAGTTGAACAACTTGAGAAACTCTTCACCATGTTTGAGGCCCAGAACATCGACCAAGGAAAGTGGGTGAAACAGCAAATCCATCATGCCAGAGAGCATGGCCTCGCTCGGAGAAAACGCCTCATCTGGGAGGTCTATGCAGGTGAGATTGATCACTCAGCTGCTCAAGGACCACGGCGATGTTGAGGTGATGCGCTTTGGACTTCGCGATGGTTGGGACTTCAGCAAAGCCTCCCATCGAAAAGAACTTCTACGTCAATGTGACGAACTCGAACCTGATGAGATCTACATGTCCCCAAAGTGCACCTTGTGGTCACGGAGTCACGAATGCAACAAATCAACACCCATAATGAAGCACAGGCTCAAGATCTCCATGAACGGCGAGAGGTGGATCATGCCACTCACTTGGCTATGTGCAAGAAGCTCTACTACAAACAAGTTCGCCGAGGAGATCATGCTCACTTGGAGCACCCAGCACTGAGCCTGGCTTGGGACACCAAGAACCTCAAGAACTTGCCAGGCCACAAGGCGATCTTTGACCAAGGCGCCTACGGCGCCACGGCAAAAGCAGATGATGGCACCCTCCTGCCCATCAAGAAAACGACTCGTTTGCAGACCACCAAGTGGGCTATGTTTCAACTGATGTCCAAAAGGTGCGATGGCCAACACGAACATCAACGACTAGAAGGTCGAAATCGCTGCCGCAAAGCTGAGGACTACCAACAAGAGCTGGCTTCCACTTTCGTTCATGGCTTGCTCATTGTTGAAGGGCTCAATGAACAGGTCTATGCCGTGCACGACGACGACAAGGCCCTGACTGGAGTTCTCAGGAAACTTGGCACTCTTCACGGCCATGAAGCTGCAAGAACTGCTCTTCGCCTGCACCGGAATCTTGGACACCCCCGCAAAGAGATCTTGTTGAAGATGCTCAAAGATCGTGGCTGCAACAAGGCAGTCCAATCTGCCGTCCAAGACCTGCATTGTCCTTACTGCGAGGTTCACTCGGTCAAGAAGGGCAACGCTCCAAGTCATCTCGATCGTCCTACAGAGTTCAATGCACAGCTCCAGGCTGATGTTCTGTGGTTGGAGATGGACGAGATCGGCATGCTTTTGGAGGCAGGTCATCGAAAGCAACGAGCAAAGAAGATTGCAGTGCTCGTGATGGTTGATGTGGCTACTCGCTACATGGCTGCCCGAACAGTTGTTGATGAAAAGGGCCCAACCTTGCAGAAAGCCTTGGAAAGAGCATGGATTCAGTTCCATGGTCCACCAAAGCAGCTCTACACCGACGAGGGCACAGGATGGGCATCTGATGCCACTGCAACTTGGTGCGAACAGCATGACATCGAACTTCGCATTGCACCTGGACAGGCTCACACCCGCACAAGTGTTGTTGAACGACGTCACCAGTTGGTTCGCAAGGCAGTGTCAATCTTCATGATGGAGCCTTAGCTTGGATAGTTCCCTCCATGAACAGCAACACCTTCGTGAATGGCTTCACTCCTGCGCAGCTTGCACTTGGCCAAGAACCTTCCATGCCAGGACTCCTCTCTGACGAACGCACTGGGCCATTGCAATTGCAGATGACCGAGCAGGAACGTCTTCATCGAAGATTGAGCATGAAGTTCTCAGCGCAACAAGCGTGCGGAAAAGCCGAGATCGATGTCAAGCTGCGCAGGGCACTCCTTCGTCGCTACACTGGCAAAGACGAGGACCTCTACCCTGGAGAACGATGCCTCTACTGGAGAGACGCTGCCGGCAAGGCACACACCATTCGATGGAAGGGTCCTGCAATCATCCTCGCTGTGGAGCGCGACCCTGACACAGGCACTGTTGCACGCTACTGGTTGGCCCATGGCACTGTTCTCTTGAGGGCTGGTGCTCAGCACGTCAGGAAGTTGGTCAACGATAGTGGCATGGTTGATGGACCTACTCGAGTTCAACAAGCTCTCCACGGTCTCCGACAGCGCAGGGCAGTGCGCATCATCGACTTGCGGAGGTCAAACAAAAGACCCATCGATGAGGTTGATCCCGAGATCAGCGACATGGACTACACTCCCACTGACACTGAAGCAGCACCACAAACAATGCCGTCACCAATGCAATCCGATGGACATATCATTGAGCCTCCACAAGAACGACGAGCGCGACAGCAAGAGACACCAACAGTGGCAGAACCACCCTCTGCCACTCCACATGGCACAACGGCAAACGAACAGGCATCAGCATCAACAGCGGCAGCAGCACCGGCAGCAGCATCACAACCTCAACATGAGGAACAGCACGAAACACAACGACCACCACAACTGGAAGAATCTGAAGAAGAAGAGGAAGAGCCGATGGTCGAACCTTCCCATCTGAGAACTCCTATGGCACCACCAGATCCATCAAATCTACCTCCAGTGCCTGAAGATGATGATCTTGACCGCCCAGCTGAATCAAGTCGACCGTCTCACGAAGTACCGGCTCCTATGGTGGATGTCTCCTACCTACCACCAAGCTCAGCTGAAACGTTCCAAGATCGGAGACGCCGGTTCGACCAGCAGGAGACCATTTGGGCTCGCAAGAAGATCAAAACTTCTTCAGGAGACATTGAGGTTGACCTCCACTCCTTCGATTTTGACAAGTCCACCCAGCTTCCTGAAGGCTGGCGCTACGATGAAAAGAACAATGAATTCATCCTTGGTGAGACGAAGGATTGGTGGAGCTTTGAAGATGGCTTCCTGGTCAGGAATCATGTATGGGGCAGAACAACCACATATCATCCTGAGCAGTTCCCCATCGCCGAGGAGTTTCTACAAACAACCACCGGTTTGTCGATGCAGAAAGGGTCCCGCACCATCTACGATGAACAGCACTTCAATGAAGCTTTGACTGGAAAGACTTTGTACCCTCTCACTCAAGAAGGTGCACAGCAGTACGGCTCTCACTACATCGGAGACATGACCAGCAAGCTCAAGCGCTGCAAGGCTCTTCGAGGTCGCGGCCACATCTGGCAAGCAGTTGGAGCTGGAGCTCCAAAGAAGAAGAATGTGAAGGAGAGCGCCGACCTCAACGAAAGGCGCATGACCTTGGAAGATCGCTTGGCATTCCTTGAAGGAAAGAAAGCAGAGTTAGCCAGCATCTTCGAGAATGGAGTCTAGGAGATTGAAATGGATCCCACTTCCGTCGACCACAACCGGGTGATGAAGGCTCGCTTTGTCTTGAAGTGGGCTTCGGATGGAAAAGGTGGCGTGAAAGCAAAGGCACGACTTGTGCTTCAAGGATTCTCTGACCCAGACCTTCTCCAAGGGTCATTGGACACAAGCTCACCAACACTGTCGAGAACTTCAAGGCAGACTCTCCTGGCCATCAGCCAGGTTAACCACTGGAAACGGTGGACAGCTGACGTGTCGACTGCATTCCTCCAGGGCGACCCTCAGGAGCGAACTTTGTGGGCCAGAATTCGAAAAGACGCCTGCCAAATCATCGGTGTCGTTCCAGGAACTTTGATGAAGTTGATCAAACCGATCTATGGCCAGGCCGATGCCCCAAGGCAATGGTTCATTGTCGCTCGCAGACGACTGGAAAGCTTAGGCTACAAGGCTCATGCCCTGGATCAATGCCTCTACACGTTCCACGACTCCGACAAGCACCTGATCTCCATGGTTGGTCTTCATGTCGATGACCTGCTTGGCTGTGGACAGGATGGCCACCCTGAGTATGAGCACCTCAAACTCCAGTTGAAAGACGCCTTCAACTTCAAGCATTGGACTGAGGAGACCGAGGACAAGCCTATTGAGTTTTGCGGTTGCCACCTCAGTCGAACCTCGACGGAATCCAAGCTGCACCAGGCTGAGAACCTCAAGGGTGTGAAACCCATGACATGCGTCAACTATGACTCCAATCGCAGTCTCAACTCCAAGGAACAGAGCTGTCTTCGAGCTTTGCTGGGAGCACTTCAGTGGCCGGCTACACAAACGTCTCCACACCTCAGTGCTTCGGTTTCACTGCTATGTGGAGAGGTCACCACGGCAACAGGTGACACAGCAGCCCAGGCCAACAAAGTTCTCAGATTCGCCAAGTCAAACGGCGATGCAGCTCTGGTCTTTCGAGATCTAGGAGGAGACTTGAACAAGTTGTGCACGGTCGCAATGAGCGACGCAGCTTGGGGAGTGCGCCGAAACAATGAGTCGCAAGGCGGCTACGTGATCTTCCTTTGCAACCAACAAGTGCTGGAAGATGGATCCACTCAGGACTACATCATCCTCGATTGGCGCAGCTTCAAGCTCCCTCGTGTGAGCAGATCTTCGCTCAATGCTGAGAGTCAGGCTTGTTCGGCCGCTATGGATGCCCTGGAGTATCTTTTGATTTTCTGGGAAGGATGCCTCCGCCATGACTTCCAGCTTCGTCAGGTGGACAGCTTTGCTCCTGAGATGCCATCGGCATTAGTGGTGGACGCTAAGGCCCTCTATGATTCCCTGAAGGCTGAGACACCAAGTCTTCAAGGCGACAAACGCACCAAGATTGAGGTCATGGTCACAAAACAGAAAATGGTGGGCATGAGATCCCGCCTGAAGTGGGTATCGTCGGAAGCTCAGATCGCCGAGGGGGTCACCAAGTTCACGGCCCGACAGTTGTTCGCAGATCGCTTACGATCCCACTGCCTCTCTCTGCAATCGGACATGACCTTCCAGGCCGCCAAGAAGAAGACCCAGGCTGAAAGGCAAGCAAACTCCAGAAGACATGCCATCTCCAGGACTGGCAACACGAAGCAGCTAGCTTTTGCAGTTCTCACCTCACAAATGATTGGAGTTAAGCCTGATGTTTTCCGCTTTGATGAGGCGGACCGTTTCTTCCATCATGTGGTCGGTTTGTGTTCCGACCTGTGAAGAGCTCGAGGTGGTGGTCCTCAACCATGTCAACCTGGTAACCGAAACACTCATGGATGTAGAGACTTTGAGACACTGCCAAATGAACATGCCAAAGGGGATGGCATAGAGCGTCAGCGTCGTCTCAGGGGAGAGCATGAATGCTAGAGCTTCTTCGGCTGCCATGGCTTTAAGAACCTCACCAATGACCAAGAAGCAGAAATTTTTGAGCTGCAAGCGCAGTGCACAGCGCAAGAAGAGGATCTGAACGAAATGGTAGAAACGGTTGAATTTTTGAAAGGCCAACTTACTGAGGCCGAACAAGATTTGCACAAGACAAGTTTCCAGTGGGCGAACCTTCAACAGCGGTTCGTCAATTTGAAGAATGAACTAGAAAATGACTACACCCCAAGAGTGGTATGGACAACAAAGAGAGGAAAGTCCTTCCACATGTACATGGATTGCCAGGGACTAGCAGCTGCCGATAAGGAACAGCTGAGGACCTGGGATGCTTGCGCATTTTGCGCGACCGAGGCGCTCATCAAATGGCGCCGACTGTAAGAGACAACCACCGGTGTGAATTTCACTCCATGAAATGTGGAGAACCATGGTGGGTTGCTCGTTGACTGCAGCTTTTGTCCACGGACCGCTGCCATCTGCCCTAAGGGGCCCCTTGAGCACGCATGTTCACGCTACGCCTAGAAAAGGAGCTCTACCCTTTTTCACTTCGTTTTCACTCCGACACTTCGAGCGGTTGGAATCGGAACACGTTGCACTTCATACTTCCGTGTTTTCACACTATCTATTATTGCATAAGATGCCACACAAGGAATAGCAACACACAATTATTAAGCAAACCCTTATTGTTGCAAACATGGATCCGCTTGCCATTGCCCATCGTAGGTGTAGAGCACCTCGAAGCGCTTGAGTGAGTGACATCTGTTACACAATTTACACGAGAATCGACCCATCTCGCGGACTGCAGCCGTGTCTGTCCAGGAATCCTCGCCTTGCCAGCAGCCTCGATCGTCAGGGTGCCGTTGCCATGGCGGCGATCACGGAACCATTGGCCATCGTATTGCATCCGATTCCTGGCAGCTCGGAAGCCAGTGGAGCTTGCATTTCTTCATCCAACATGGATACACTACCTTAACCAAAAGGTAAAACATATTGAAAGCATGAAACACACACAACAAAAAAACAACTACAAACAATCAACATATACTGCATATAATGTCTCTATGCCCATATCATCCCATCTCTCTATCTGACCTCTGGCTGATGTACACGCCGGAGCCGTGGCGCATACCACGGCGGAATTCTCCGCGGTACTCGTCACCGTTGGAGAATCGATACCTCGTGATCCGGAACAGCAATACGCTCTGCTGTTTGGCTCTAACAGGGAGTCGGCCATCCACTTCCGTGTGAGTCGGAGTGTGCATCATGATAATGATAAATTAATATCTCATTATATCTCATGATACTCATGTTGGACAACTTGTCACAAGTCATGGTGCTTATTTCTGCCTTCCTAGGGTCCACACGTGCCCTGTCCTTCCCGTGGTGGCTTTGGCCGTCTTTCTTTGACTGGTAACTTGTGCACCTTCAAAAACAAACACATCAGTCGACATCCCCACCTGTGGAGTATGATCACAGTAGCACTATGTGGCACAGCCAGTTCTCAACCGTTGCACTTCTTTAACAAACAGGCATTGGGTTGGCATTGGGGTGGTAGTCACAACATGTCGCAACACTTCCACCAGTTGCTGTGAAAACTGGCCTGCAACCAAAGCTGTCCACCATGGGTACGCCTCAGTGGAAGATCTTCAAAGCGAGGAAGCTGTGCAAAATTCCATCAACTGAATCTAGTGATCCTGGGCCCAGCTGAGCCCAGCTAAGCAGCTGCAAAACTCATTGAGATGGCATCTACGAAAAGCATTCTTGCATGGCCAAAACCACTGTGAGTGCTTTTATGAGAAGGACAACTATGTCATAATGCGATATAATGCGTATATATATATATAGTAGAGAGAGATATGCCCGTGTGCTGAACGAGCCCACTGCTACCGCAGTCTGAGGCAAGCAACATGACCCATCTTTGCAGGAAAGGTAGTCCGAAGCGAGCTAAATCAGACTTTTCTTGCCGAGATGCCACCTGCACAGAATGCACGTTGCTTTTTTGTCGCGATGAAGCTTTGGCACACCACATGTGTGATTATAGACATTGTGATTGGTCACGAAATCACTAGAGTCACTAAAGCACCAAATGGCTTGCGGCTTGCGGCACCTCCAAACCTGCCGCGAAATCACGCTCTGGTCCAGATGTCTTGGCCAGTGCCTCAGATGTTCTGGACCGTGGCACACTCGTACAAACACCTCCTGGAACGCCTGGGAACACATACAGTATACATGCAGATGTGCAATCCTCATCAATCCTCGGGTCTTCAGCATCTCAATCAGGCTCTTGCCACAACAAGTCGAATCCAATATCCAGCAAAGGCGTTGCGATCAGCATCCACAGTAGCAGCCTTCGGTGTGTCTCAAGCTTCAAGCGTCCGCCACGAATCTGTCAATGACCAGGATTTCTGTGCTACCAGGGTGTTGCTGGTGTGGGAAGCAAGCAGCTGCATGATTTCAAGAAGGGAAAAGGCCGTATTGAACACCCCCCACCCAGCGCCGCACCCAGGTGGTCTCTTGCAGCAAGTGCTCCTGAAAAAAGCAGCGCTTTTCTGGTCCCTTGCTCTGCCCATATTAAACCCCTTTCCTTTGAAAACAGCATTGAATTCCAATGGAGAATCAAGTCTCGAGGTCGACATGGAGAATCAAACGTGCAAATGCAATCCAAATGAATCCAGCTTGCAATTAACCAGCTCAAATCTTGCAGTGGCCTGCCGAAGAGCAGCCGTATTGACCTGCGACGCATATTAATATTGACGGAGGTAGGGTCGACGGTGTCGGCTCTTGAATGACCCACCTCCGCTATGGCATCCGCACTTGCCTCCTGACAGAAAGTGGAGGGACAAAGAAGTGGTATATGATCCCAGAACATATTTCTATGTATATAATCTCTATGAACGCAGGCAAGAACTTCCTGGGAAGTGCTTTTCCGCCTCCCCCTGGGCGTACTCTTTCTTGGATTCTGGAACAGGGCTTCTGAACATCTCATGACCTCTCTATAGGAACGTGGATTGACATGGAACAACTGCGCAATATCCATGTTGTTGCACGGGAGGCCGGGCCAAACTCTGGTGACCATTGGGCTTTCTCACAGTGGTGCCTCTCCCATCCCCATGCAGCGCAATGTTCAGACCTCTAGATATTCATAGATGAGATATGATATGGTGAGATGATCAATGCCAACGATGTAGCGCTTTTGGCATCTGCCGCAGCTGTAAATCATGTCGGGTCTTCGGAAACCACCACATGTGGCATGTTGTGGCCTCTCCATCGGTGATGCACCATTATTCAACACTATACTCAAACACCAACAGAACACACATCTCATCTCCACACGGGGAAGCCAGGTGAGCCTGCGCATCTCTGACCAGCTCCTCCGCGCCGAGTCATGGGCCCCTACATGTTTGTGGCTACTTCTTTTGGACGAATTCTAGCCAGCAAGAAGTATGGCAGCATATGGGCTTCTTGTCGAAAGGTCATGGGCTTCGCATGGCTTCGCTGGTCGACTTTGCTTGTCATGATGCCCTTGCTACTGCCTACTGCTTGTCATGATGACTGGCATAGACACAGGTTCACCGTTCACCTTGATAGACCCACAGTGTAACATAGTGTAACAACTAATGCACCCTGGAAGATTAACATGGAACCTGAACACCACTGGGTTGTAGAGGAAATAGTCTTCCAAAGGTCTATTTCAGGTTCCATGGTGTATCACCAGCAGTTTCCAAAGGCGAGTGTGGAACCCTGTGGAACCCAACGCCCTGTGCGCGCGGCGTTCGGGGGCCTCAGAGTCAAATCTCTTCACTGCCTGGGGGCCACAGTCAGACTGAAGACTACGCGCTCTCTCTCTCTCTCTCCCTCTCTCTCTGAGCGAATCTCTCATTCGTTCGCTCCCTTGCTCCCTCGATCCCTCAAAGACTTCGGATTGATGAGTTGTTTGTTTCCAAACATGAGTGCCACATGGAACACCTGATCAAAAGATCATTGGTCTTCTAAGTGCCATTGGAGACAGTTTCCAGTGTCTTGGCAGTAGCTGAAATGGTACATCTCCCAAGAGTTGTTCAAACCATGCAAGAACCGATGATTGAATGCAATCAATTTAGTCAGTATGTATTATTTATAGTTATATATATGTGATAAGACGTAATGTGATGTCTTACTCCGTGCATGCAAGCAACATCATCTGACAAGTGAGGAGCATCAGCTACAAGCTCCAGTTCATCATCATCATCATTGTCCTGGTCCTGGCAAGGCTGAACAAATCAAGTGCAGGGTCTGTATAGCTTCTTGTCCTGGCAAAGCATCAAATTCAAGCAACAAGTTCAACGTTCATTCTGATTCCCTGTTTTTTTTGCGCATGTAAGATATGCAAGGTCGGTTCTTGCGGGATTTGCTTTCCGCGAATGGATCAATCAACGGCTTGCGGGGACTGAATTTCATGGCAATTTGAACTCAAGTGAAGCAATCGCTGAACAAACTGAAGCTCGAAGCTTCAGGTGTTGTAAAAGCTTTTGAGATCACTGCATCCCGGGTCTGTGAGGCTGGCCTGTGGTCTCACCGCAGGACGAGACGCCTGGGCGTGCTCCTTTGGCATGGCCTTCTCCAAACGCTGAGACGCCTCCAGCAGCCATGCTTTTTCCGCACTGGTGCACCTGGTTCGCTGAAGGGAAGGGGAAATCAGCATGACTGGCATGGATGAAGTATGAAGGATTTTAGGATCTTTCCAATATTCAATATATGAAGCTGAAACCATGACTTCACCAAACTTCACCCAAGTTGGTCTTTCATCAAACCTTTGGATCGCAATGGAGTCAACACGTGAGCCGTTAAACGCCCAGCTTAAAAGACAAAGCAATTGCCCTTGTTTCCACTCAGGCTTCTGGGTCTGGAAGCGGGGAACTTACAAATTCTGACTAAAGCTTGGGCCAAGTCCGATTCCAGCATGACAGGAAATCCATAGAAAACCGCCGCATCTCTTACCTTGTGAGCTCCTTGATCTCTTTGCACAGAAAATCCACCGAGAAGCTGCTGTCTTCTACCCCTGGCACCTGTTGCAGGCATCCAAAGTCCAACCCGAAATGGGCAAATTGATAGGCATGCAATCACTCTGTGGTATATGCATCGTGTTTACCAATTTGTGCACGTGGTGTGTTGCCTAATCAATTGTGCAAATGCATCATGGTACAAGGCCATTGCTATTAGGTTGGAGGCCATTGCCATCAGGTCGGAGGCA